TTGGGTCCAGACTATCTGAATAACTGTATCTCACCCAATGAGCTACCATGGCTTTTAAAATCTTCTTAGTCCCACTGCCCTTAGAGGCTCATTTGGTGGGGACACACAAAAACCCAGATTCTTCCTAGGTTGTAGAACACTCTCCCTTGGAAAGCGAGGTTGGCCCCTCTCCTTTTTATCTTCTAGCATCAAGTAAAGATTTTCCTTTTGAAACAGATTTTTAACAACCACATTGGGCATCAAAGCTAGACTCTCCTTGAGGTCATGGTTATCCCTTTTAAAGTGTGCATTTAAAGGTTCCTTTAGTGTTTGTTATACTCAATTTTTGTATCTTACCATGGCCAAAATCCTGTTGGTTAGTATAGCAAATGATGCTAGAGTACACCCATTGAATACATTAATTGGGGATCTGATGTGTGAGCTTTTTCCATAAGTTCCATTGATTCAAACAGGCCTACTTTCATTATGACTTACTTTAGTGTAGTAAGTTGCAACTAGAGTAGGACCATTTGAATCAATGAAGGTCATTCACCTAATACCCAGTGATTCAGTGAGCTACTCTAGTATGCTTACTACACTAAGCAACAGGATTTAAGCCCATATGTAATTGTTTGGTAATTGCATACTTATTGTCTTTTAAACTTTACTTCTATTTTATTTGGTTGAACTGCCCCAAATACATTTACAGGAGAAAGGCAGCATGGAAGTAAATGTAATGCATTTGAGTAAATCTCAGCTGTAAAATAAAATAAAAAATAAAATGCTTTTATGATTGCTTCCTTACAATGCACAACTTGCATCTATACCCTTTAAAAATGGTGTCATCAGGTCAATTCCAACTTACGGCAACACTTGCCAGGGTTTCCTAAGAAAAAGGAAGTGGTTTATCTCTTCCCAGCTTCCAGCTTGTCCATGACTACACGGCTTGGCCCCTCTTCCAGGAGGCACAGGAGGGAACTTAGCTCCTGGCTCCTAGTTCACCAGCAAGGTTCTCCACTCACTGTGCTGCTTAGCCAGCACAGTCATGTTTACTATCCCACCAGCTTGCATCAAGTTGTGCACTGTGATCAGGACTAGCTACTTTTCCAGTAGTCCCTGCCTTCCAACCTCAGGTGGCTGGGGCACATTTGGGGAACATTTTTTTTCCAGAAACATACTCCATCTAGACTCTTTGTATGCTTGCTTACCCTTCTGTCATGCCAAGAAATGATTACTTGATGGCATTACACATGCACAATAAGTTCCATAAGCAGTGACTCTAGGTATGCTATCATGTCCAAGAAGCAACCACCATAAGATATCTGAATGTACGTCTTCACGTGTCTCATTCTTGCATGCAGGAATAACGACACGACTAAACGACTGAACAAAAAAAAATCTTTATGTGCATCTGGAAGCACAGTGATTGTTCTCATATCTGCCCAAGAAGCAACCACCATAAGATATCTGAAAGTACATTTTCACATGCCTCATTCTTGCATGCAGGAATAACACATTCCCAAAACTTTATATGCATCTGCAAGCACAGTGAGAGTTCTCATATCTGGAAGAATGGTTTCTTTGTGCAAAATGCAGAAATCCATAAAACTAGGATGGATGTTGCTCTGCAGAAGTTATAGCCATTGGATGAGCTGTGTGCCTCTTTTGATCCATCAGTCTTCTTTGCTTCCTTTGAGTGGGTGCAGGCATTCTTGCTTATGCTTTGCCTCAGAAAGGAAGAAGCCACAGTGTTGCCTAGAGAAATTCTCTGTAAATTGTGGGACCCTCTATGAAAAATTGCTTGCAGGAACACGAAGAAGACTTGTTGTGATTATTATAGTAGGAAGCCTCCTACACAAAAAGCACTGTGTGATGCAATCTTGAACATACTTTCCATATCCATATGAATCTCATAATAGTTGGGTGCAGGAACTATGAGTGTGTCTATTTATGTATTTGCTTTCAACATATGTGCTTGCTCCCAGCATGACAGTAATATAGAAAAACAACATTCAGCTACCATTGGCCCTGCCCATAAATGTTACAGTGAAAGACACTGCTGGAAAGCAGGCAGCCCATTGCACCTGCTCCAGAATTATTAGTCAGTTCATAGCCTCGGGTAATTAAAAGACAAAAGCCAAGCCTGGAACAATTACTTTGTGTATCATGACCAACACAGCAACCCAGAACCACCTAAAATTCACAGTTTCAGTGTGTTTGTGTTAACAGAACACCACCACAAGAAGTCAGCAACCCACAACTCAAATTGGATTTATCAGCACAACCAGATGTAAAAAGATAAAGCCAGAAAGGATGTGCATAAAGAATTAACTATGCCTTATTCAGGTGCAGCATATCTTCAAACATGTTCAGAAATCATGATCTAGTAATATTAAGGCCACACTTGAGATATTTGCCGAATACTGCTCAGAGTCCTATTGGTAAGTTTTGCATGCATAAAAGAATTTTTGTGAACTTGCAGCAATGAAACTGCTGCAGATCAACAAGGTGCAGTCATGTTCTTGATTGTATGACTGGGCCCATGACCAGGAATACATCCTGTATGTCATTAATTAGGAACAATTTGCCCCCGCAACTTATGCTACTTTGTGCATCAATTATAAATAGGGTTCTGGACATACAGTAGTGGAATTATGTAATTTTTATCTTCTTGAAATTATTGGATTGCATCCAGGTAAAACACAGAAAGAGATGACTTGCTACATAGCCACAGGATTGATATGCCTACTTGTAGAGATCTAGAACAGAAATGTATTGGGAAAAAATACTTGTGCAACAGTTATCACACATTGACCTCCCCCCCCTTTGTTGTGGTGTTGATTGCATGGCTGATCACACACTGGTTGCAAATTTGATTGCACACTGTTCATGCATCAGACGTTCCAGCAAAGACGGGGGAGGACCACTAGCTCCATTACTGTAGTGTGCAGATTTCCACCACCATCCCAATGGGATTTTGGCCGTAGATTGTGAACAAAATACTAAGACAGGTGGACTGTGACAGAAATGCCTGATTATAATACAAATTATTATATTTAAGCTTGTGTAAAAACTCAGTTACACAGTTTTAACACAAATGTTGTAAAATTTGGAAATGATCACATGAGTGCTTTTGGGAGATGCCTGTTGGAACTGATCATCTTTGTAATTTTGTTTGTGCTGAATAGGAAATGATCTCACCTGCACAAAGGTTCCTTTAGGAGAAATCTGAAGTTAACTGTGACCTTCCAACACTGCTAATTTACAGTGTCAGTGTTTGGCTCTTGAACATCTGTCTTGGATGATAAACATTTACATAGCACTTTGGAGGGTTCAGGGTTATTTACATTCTTATGGTCCATTTTACAGTTATTGTTACATGTACCCCAAATCACCCTTAAAATCAAAAGTGGCTTGCCTCCAACGAAATGTTTTTGGTAGAAGATTTTAAAAAAAAAAAAAAAAAAAAACCCAAACCAAAAGAGAGAAAAGAAAAGAATACTGTGCCGAGTCTTAATGTCACTTCTAACAGCCTAGTTCCATGGTTACTGAAGGGCAGGCCTCTTTTAAAGTCACAATAGCTTCCTTCATGCAAGAATTACTTACACATAGAGGTAAAGGACATATCATTTTCTTCATGCTACTTGTTCATTATGAACACATAAGAGCCTCCTCTAAGCATCTGTTGATGCAGTTGCCTGATGCATTGTGAAGTCATTGTGGTCTATTATTTTGTATGCCTTTAGTAGCTCATATGTGAGTTTACACTAAGCCCAAAGCCAAAGATTTTGCTGATTATTGCAAATTAACATTGGGTTCCGAGACATAGGCAGCTTCTCTTTTCCAGGGACTTTTCCCTTCACTTGAGTTCTTGCCCTCTATTTCCAATCCCTTTTTCCCTTCTCACACTCCTAGGTCTTAAAGCCTGTGTTGTACACCTTTCTGCTTACCCTGCATCTAAACAGAAATTGAGCAGTACAGGTATCCATTTCTGCAGACTCTTTTGACTAACTCTATCTTATCACCCTTCCCTCCTCATGTTATGGCATCTTAACCAAAGAATTTGGGTATAACGGAGAGTCAGAAATCAATAGGTAAAAGGTAAAGATTCCCCTTGACAATTTTTGTCCAGTCGTGTTCAACTCTAGGGGCCGGTGCTCATCCCTGTTTCCAAGCCACAGAGCCAGCGTTTTGTCTGAAGACAATCTTCCGTGGTCACATGGCCAGTGCAACTTAGACACGGAACGCTGTTACCTTCCCACCGAGGTGGTCCCTATTTATCTACTCGCTTTTACATGCTTTCAAACCGCTAGGTTGGCGGGAGCTGGGACAAAGCAACGGGAGCTCCCTCCATCACACGGATTCGATCTTACGGCTGCTGGTCTTCTGACCCTGCAGCACAGGCTTCTGTGGTTTAGCCCGCAGCACCACCACACCCCTTTTCAGAAAACAATGCCTAAGATTAATTACAAAACAAAAACAAACTTACAGTACTTATGGGTTGTTACAGAAAATTTTCTGTAATTGACATATTACCTCTCCTTCTTCTCTCTCTCTCTCTCTCTCTCTCTTTGTCACACACAGGGAGACATACACACACACTTACATGGAGAGACATTACGTTTGGTTATCAGAAAAAAGATCCAGAGTAACGGAAGAATGAGTTTTAAAAAGTTGTCACTTCCAAAGACTGCAATTTCAAAATACCACACTCATAATCTTATTACAAGGAAAATGTAAAAGTCACGACCATTTTGATTCAGTATCAAAGGTGCATTGTGGGTATGCCCAGAGCATTATATGACACCGTCCTATTTCGAGAGACAATCAGACCTGCGTATTTCCATGGAACCAGAAGCAAGACACTCTAAGCTCTTTGGAGGGAACACAATAACATAACTGTAACCAATAAGCACACTAGCACAAATCTCAACTGGACCATCACGAGTGAACACTGCAAGGCTTAACATTTTGAGGGGCATTGAAATTCAGAGCCACACTCTAGGTTTATTGTTACTCACTTTGTGGCAAGCAGCATGTTCTTCCTGGAGTGGAGATCAGTGGGGTCCGTGTGCTGTCTGTTCAGGTACTCAGAAACAGCTTTGGCTGGGAACTCAGTTTCACAAATGTATCCAAAATCCCGGGCTAAATGTACAGCTTCTCCTGAGGGAAAAGACAAGCAGCTTTTGATCATTGTAGGTCAACTGGACTGCACTATCAGCAGCCCATTTAGTGCATTCATTGAGATGGATTTATAGTCTGATCCATAGATTTGTCAGCCTAACAACTACCTTCTCAGGATGTGGGAGGCCAACTGCTGTGCCTAGAAAATCTCATTAACATCTCATGATGTTATTCCACTGTTTGCAGACATCCTTTATTCTCAGCCCAAGCAATTCATGTGAGACTGGGGGGGTCACACAGAAGTCAATACAGTTTTGGAACATCAAATGTACATTGGCTCTGGGAGAAAGGGCAACCAGGGCAGCTGTATCAATGTATAAGTAAGGAAGGAAGCAGGTTCAATAACAGAAAACAAACCTCTTTGTGTAGGCCTACGTCAGTGACTTTAACTCACTTTGAACAGCCCAGACATTTGAGAAATGGTGTCTTATAAAGGGGCTAGAAATCCTGAAAAGAATTCTTAGAACTCTCATCAAATCCCAGAGAAACCATGACAGATTACATGGTACAACCCTGACTAATACAGTTTTTCGAAGTTGTCTAGGGAAGGCTATACAAATTGTGTAGGACTTGTACATCCTGTGGTTGAACCCACAGTAACGTGAAGCCCTTTTAAGCCTTTGATTTCAGTGTGAATGATTTGCTCACATATTGAACGTATCCATTCAATTCAGTAGGACTGAAAGACTTGTCTTTGGTGGTTTTATATCTGTGCAATAAAATTATAGGAAATTACCACAGTTATCATGGCAGACAACTCCCCCCACCTGATTTTACTGAATTTCATTTCCCATAATCCCTAGCCAACATGGCCTATAGACAAAGAAGACGGGAGCTGTTCCTCCATGATTACTTAAAAGAGCACAAGCTCTGTTACAAATTATAGTGGGGACCATTAGCCACTCCATCATAAAATTCATAGACTAACACTTTGAAGAAAATAAGAGTGCACAAGGGTCACAATATCTCTTTTCAACAAACCAGTGGTCCAGATTTTGAGTCTAAGAAATCATTATTCCTGTAACAGTCTTCGAATAACACAAAGTCTGTAAAGAGTTGAAGACCAAAAGCAATTTGACCAAAAAAGCAGACATGTTCTTTCATTGTGGTAGAAGACTTAGAATGAGGATGGTCAGACTCCACGATCTACTTGGTTTGTCTTTGTTTATTTTTATTAGATCTCTGAGATTCAGCTATTGGGCTTTGATATGAAAGACATACACTTCAAATGAGAGAATTCTGAAGCCAAGAACATACCAGAACAACATAATCCTCCCACATAAAGACCTCCTTATCATTACTCCCAACATTTTTCATCACATCAGTATGATTTAGCCTTTTTTCCTGCTCATTTTGATAAACAAATGAGAGTTAAAAATTCCTGCCCATCTCTTACAAGTTACCTGGAAATTCACCAGGAAATTCAGATCAACTTTCTTCTCCACCCACAACCTGGAAAAATGTTTAATGCTTATTCTTTTCAGTCTCACTTAGTATGAACAAGGCTTTTATTTTTTTTCCATGATAGAAGACAAATCTACACAATGGTATGCTAACATCATTCATATGCACAGCACGCACAACAACATATTGCAGTTGTGCACTTAAAATAATAAATTTAGGATTCCATGAGAGGAGTTTCTCCTCCTGATCCCATCCATGGACACCTACAAATATGAGCAACTTGGAGATAATTGATCAAGCAAGATATCCAGTTTCTCAAAAAATATACAGCACCTTATGTGAGACTACACACTGCAATGCTGAGAACAGCTTAAAAGAACTGAGTAACCAAATAGCCAGATTTTAGCAGTGTTGTGAACACATCAGAACTCCAGTTTGAGCTAGGCTTTGGTTGCAAAACACAAGTATCCCTTCTGAAGGACATGAAAAGGCACACAAAGGAGTTCCACTAAGCACATGAGGTGCAAGTGGCATTTGGCATTCTGTACAAAACCAAAGGCATCCTGAACTATCACCCCTAAGTCCCTGTTAAAGAGTCAGAGGCCTCTGCTTTCTAAGCAAGCTTGTGTCTCCACCAACTCAACCCTTTAAAATAGGTAATCATAAAATACATATCAGGAAAACATATACATCTGTGTGTATACACAATTTGTCCATAAAGAAACAAGATATCATTGTGAGCTGATATGTTTGTTACTCAGGCTGAATATTTTTCTAGATACTATATAGAGGATATGATTTGTACCCCAGTGAAAGTGCTAGGACACATCTGGTTTGTAACCCTGCATGCAGGCTTCTTACATGAAAATGAGCCCCAGCGAGTGTATCTGCAAATGCTGACTGGCACTTCTTGTTCTTTTTGCCTCTGCTATCCACCCCTGCTCTGTGCTGCCTGTTACCTTGGCCTGTTTCTTTCTTCCTTCAGCTATTTCCTTGCATCATGATGAAATCCTAGATTGCAATGAGGAACAAACTGGTCCTCTTTTGCTTAAATTGGACTTAAACCACTGTTTCACTGCATAAACCATATCCAGTCCCTTTAGGCCCCCTTTCTCACTGGAGAATAGCAATACGTAACTTACTCCAAAATGCCTTTCCCTACAGAAAGGGAGCCTAAAGACTACAATCTGATGCTCAGACAAGTTAAGCCCTGCTGCAGTCAGTGGGGATTCCTTTTACTAAGGACTTAGGGAATGGGAGTGTGTACTAACAATTCATTTATTATATTTATATGAGACTTTTAAAATCGATGCTCTATACACTATACTATTTTACAAGAGGGTAGTACAATACATAGTGAATGTCTAAAAACACAATTAAAATATATTAGAGAAAAAGAAAAGAAGAGAGAGCAAAAGCCAGCTAAAAGATGGAGCATGTGTCAAAACAACCAATCAGTAATCCAGATTAAATGTTAAAAGGTGTGGCAGAACAAAAACCTCTTGAATTGGTGATAGAAGGGAAACAATGGCCAAAATCTTATTGCACACAACTTGAGATTATGTGTATGGTAGCACTGAAGCAGAAGTGTTACCTCTGATGCACTCCTGCCAGAGCATTGCAGGAACAGGATACTGGCCACCATTGATACCAGGAGAGTTTCCCCAGAGAGAACACACCACAGTCAGAGACCACCACCAAGAAGGCCCTGTCACTCTAATAGCTAATAGTCCAGGCTTCTTAATGAAGGGCTCATTGCAGGGCAGCCTCAGTTAGCTGCCTTGGGAACGAGTGGCAGGAGGCATTCCATCAGGTTTAGCACTGGGGGATTTTATGTATCACCACCAGGACTTTACAACAGATTGAGAAATTTCATACTGCACTCAGAAAATAATAATGATGAATGAATGAAAATATTGACATTGTGCTCAATTTAAATGTATTCTCCTTTTCAGACACTTTTGTCTCCTATCAAAGTGCTGATATAACACTGTAGTTTAACCCCAAAAGAAGAACAAAAGGAAAATGTCTCCCCACTGACTTTTAATAATTCTGTTAATAACATTCAATGAATGATGCATTATTTTGGGTGGAAAAGTGAAAGGTGGCTTTCACCATGGAGGGTGACTTCTTTCTATGAAATGTACAGCAACAGACTTGCAGCCCTTCCTGGATAGTGAAGAACAGAATTTTTTTTTCCTAGAAGCAATTAAATGCTTGTGGCAGAGGGACTGGGTATAGTAGAAGAATGATAGCATCCAGAAATAGGTGCTAATTCCAAGAAGACAGCCTTACTTTTAGACATTTACAATCAGATTATTATTATAATTTAGAGATATGACATTTGTACACACAATAAAGTATACACTAGTCTCACCACTACAGTCATGTTTGATGTTGTGCAGTTCTTTGAAATTTAGAGGTAAATATTGATCTAACATGCATAGCTGGAAATAAATCATACTGATCAAAAGAGACAACATTTGTCAGTGATGCATTTAGGAACTGTGGTCTTAGACCCCAATACAGACAATTGTGCTTATCCTAATTTAATTTTTTAAATGATTTCGGCTCGGTCTTCTTTCAGTAAACTTTCCACATACAGTATAATGAATCCTCTGCTCTGTATCTTAATACATTCTTTTCCCTCACATGCTACACAATGGCTGAAATCCAGCTATTTAGAGCAGTGTTCCCCAACCTTGGCCCTCCAGATGTTCTTGGACTACCACTCCCAGAAGCCTTCACTACCACCTCTGCTGGCCAGGATTTCTGGGAGTTGAAGTCGAAGAACATCTGGAGGCCCAAGGTTGGGGACCACTGATGAAGCAGAAGTGTTACCTCTGATGCACTCCTGCCAGAGCATTGCAGGAACAGGATACTGGCCACCAATGACACCAGGAGAGTTTCCCCAGAGAGAACACACCACAGTCAGAGACCACCACCAAGAAGGCCCTGTCACTCTAATAGCCAATAGTCCAGGCTTCTTAATGAAGGGCTAATTGCAGGGCAGCCTCAGTTAGCTGCCTTGGGAATGAGTGGCAGGAGGCATTCCATCAGGTTTAGCACTGGGGGATTTTATGTATCACCACCAGGACTTTACAACAGATTGAGAAATTTCATACTGCACTCAGAAAATAATAATGATGAATGAATGAAAATATTGACATTGTGCTCAATTTAAATGTATTCTCCTTTTCAGACACTTTTGTCTCCTATCAAAGTGCTGATATAACACTGTAGTTTAACCCCAAAAGAAGAACAAAAGGAAAATGTCTCCCCACTGACTTTTAATAATTCTGTTAATAACATTCAATGAATGATGCATTATTTTGGGTGGAAAAGTGAAAGGTGGCTTTCACCATGGAGGGTGACTTCTTTCTATGAAATGTACAGCAACAGACTTGCAGCCCTTCCTGGATAGTGAATAACAGATTTGTTTTTTTTCCTAGAAGCAATTAAATGCTTGTGGCAGAGGGACTGGGTATAGTAGAAGAATGATAGCATCCAGAAATAGGTGCTAATTCCAAGAAGACAGCCTTACTTTTAGACATTTACAATCAGATTATTATTATAATTTAGAGATATGACATTTGTACACACAATAAAGTATACACTAGTCTCACCACTACAGTCATGTTTGATGTTGTGCAGTTCTTTGAAATTTAGAGGTAAATATTGATCTAACATGCATAGCTGGAAATAAATCATACTGATCAAAAGAGACAACATTTGTCAGTGATGCATTTAGGAACTGTGGTCTTAGACCCCAATACAGACAATTGTGCTTATCCTAATTTAATTTTTTAAATGATTTCGGCTCGGTCTTCTTTCAGTAAACTTTCCACCTACAGTATAATGAATCCTCTGCTCTGTATCTTAATACATTCTTTTCCCTCACATGCTACACAATGGCTGAAATCCAGCTATTTAGAGCAGTGGTCCCCAACCTTGGGCCTTCAGATGTTCTTGGACTACAACTCCCAGAAGCCTTCAATACCACCTCTGCTGGCCAGGATTTCTGGGAGTTGAAGTCGAAGAACATCTGGAGGCCCAAGGTTGGGGACCACTGATTTAGAGTACTGAGTCACACCAGAGTAGGCCTGATAAATCAGTAGGGATGTGGTGTGTCAATTCCTCCATAAATTCCACGGTTTTGAATGAGCTTCCTCTAGCTGTGGAAGTAACTCTGGTTGCTAAGTTGCAACTAGACTCGGACTGCTTGAATAAACGGGACTTGTGGAGGAGCCAATTCACCAAATCCACAGTGCTTCAGTAGGCCTACTCTGGTCTGACTCACTGCCCTAAATAGCTGGATTTTAGCCAGTATCTTCACTCTCCATTAACAGAGTGTCCTGAAATTGACCACAACCAATAAAAATCATTAAGGAACCTGAACTGTATGAAATTCTAAAGACCCAAACACATTCTGCTAAAAGTGCAGTTTTCGCAATTAAGTAGCTACAGGATTTGGTGCCAAGATCGTCACACTCCTTATTACTGGATTAAGGCATGCAGAGTTTTCCAATGGCTTCAGAGTTTCACTGCCTTCATCAGATCTTGTTTTATTTTCAGGGCCAACCGAGTCATTAGATAGAGTGCAGCCTCCCCAGAATATTTGAGTATCTAAAAGGGCAACAAATTACTAGTTATTCTATTTATAAACATTGTATGTATTGTACATTGTATGTATACTTTAATGCAAGCTTGCTTGGAGACATCTAATGGTCTGAGGAAGTAGATTTGTCCACCAACGTTCACATTAAAATATAGCATCTGGTCTTTAAGATGCCACAGCCTCTTTGCCTTCTTCATTTTTTGTTTTTGTTTTTGTTTTTGCTCAGTTCTTCAGTTCTCTCTCTCTTTCTTTTTTGCACATCTTCTGTTGGAAGACAGTTTAACTCAGCTACGCATACACATCGGTCCTGGATATTGCACTCACTGCTGATCGGAGTCATCTTTACTCAGAAGTAAGTGCCACGGAGCTCACTCCGAATGATACTCAGGAGTGCAACTACCTTAATAGGTGACTCGCATTGCAACATGTTAAACACGCCATAGATAGCTGTCTGGCCCGGTTCTTGCGTGTTCGAGGACTCTCTTTCTCTCTTTCCACCGCTCCGGTTTTCTGCGCAAGGGACAGACTTTAACACGGCCCGGCCACCACGGTTTCCGAGCCGCGCCATGCAGCTTTTGCCTAATACTGTATCGAAACCCTTTCCACCCTTAAGAGCCGCCGGCGGGGAGGGGGAGGGGTGGCGATGGCGGAAATGGAAAAGGATCGCGCGTCTGCTTACCTTCTACCAGGGAGGTGAGTAAAGTGACATTGGCCGCTTTGCGCCTGCCGGCTGGTAAATTCAAGCCGATTTTTTCTAGCCTCTCTCGCAACGATCTGCCCCCGTTTTTCGATTTGGCTCTGCAACGGCAAAGGACACGCCGGCGGGGAGGGGGAGGGGTGGCGATGGCGGAAATGGAAAAGGATCGCGCGTCTGCTTACCTTCTACCAGGGAGGTGAGTAAAGTGACATTGGCCGCTTTGCGCCTGCCGGCTGGTAAATTCAAGCCGATTTTTTCTAGCCTCTCTCGCAACGATCTGCCCCCGTTTTTCGATTTGGCTCTGCAACGGCAAAGGACATGAACGCGCTGATTCAAAGCTCACGGAACGTCCC